TATTGAGTTTTAAAGATATCCGAATGAATGGTTTCCATATTGAAACTAAGGACAAGGAAACAAAGAGTTCCTTCACATACTTGAAATCGCCCAAGGCAATAAGAAAATCTTAGAGACTATACCTGCACTCTCTACTGGTGTTTACTATGCCAAGATCAGTATGATAGAGGCTAATGCCACGTTAAACAAAGTGTTTACTGAAAATTCAATCTTTGGCACGACCGGTTAGGCCATCCCGGTTCGAACATGATGCGAAAATTGATATTGAATACAAATGGGCACACATTGACAGAACAAAGAGTTATCCCTAAGAATCTCACGTGTGTAGCATTGTTCACAACGGAAACTCATTGTTAGGTCATCACCAGTTAAAGTGACTAAGGAAACAATAAACTTTCTGGAAAGAATACAAAGCGACATTTGTGGACCAATACACCCACCTTGTGGGACATTTAGATACTTTATAGTTCTGTTTACTTGTGTTTACATCTTGTCGATTCTACTAGAAATTCTATAATTAAGAATAACTCATTATAAGATACTAGGACATAAATAAAGCATTGGGTCGAACTCTTCTTTGGTGTCAAGGTAATAGCTAAGGAGGTATCCAAGTAGTTAGCGAGACTTCAAGACCAGCAGCCAATAAGAAGGTCAAGGTAAAGCCAAGAGACATATAAAAACTGGTGGGAAAGCCATGTGCCGGAGGTAAGCTTTATTCGGCCCGGAGCATTGATTCCCCATAACGAATAGGCTAGCTTTTTCTTTCAATTGCATATCCTGTGCTCGAGAAGGTCTCCCAGCTCCTCGGCAGCACCTCGGCCCAGGTCCGTAGAAGAACTACTTGCATGTATGTCTATTATTAACCTGTAGTTTGGCGTTTGCGAGGTTACTTACTCAAATAATTCGTTTAAGCGCTCACTTTCCAGATTTTCCTTTAAAGACAATACGTCTTGATAATGCTGGCGAATTCACGACCCAAGCGTTTAATGATTATTGTATGTCCATGGGGGAAAGCGTAGAACATTCTGTGGCACATGTACATACACAAAACGGTTTAGCAGAATCCTTTATCAAACGCATACAGCTAATTGCTAGACCATTACTTATGAGATCAAAACTCCTGGTCTCAGCTTGGGGACATGCTGTTTTACAAACAGCAGAATAAATTTGCATCAGGCCATCTAATGAGCATAGCTATTCCCCATCACAATTTATTACGGGTCACGAGCCAGACATATCCCATCTAAAGACATTTGGATGTGCCGTTTTTGTACCAATTGCACCACCGCAAAGAACTAAGATGGGTCCTCAAAGGATGATCGGGATATATGTTGGATATGATTCTTCCGTGATTTGTTTAAGGCCAGGTAAGCGGATTGTCATTTTGACGAATCCAGTTATCCAACATTAGGCGGAGATAACAATAAGCTGGTAAAAGAAATTACATGGAATCAACCATCTTTGTCCTGGCAGGATCCTCGGACTCAAGAGTGTGATTTAGAATTCCAAAAGATAATACACTTACAAAAGCTAGCGAATCAACTGACAGACTCTTTTGATGATCCGAATAGAGTAACAAAGTCATATATACCAGTTGCGGATGCACCAATTCGTAGTGATGTCCATGAAGGACACAATCAAGTTGCTACAGTGTCTAGAGCACGTTTGAAACGTGGTAGACCAATAGGTTCCAAAGATAAGAACCCTCGGAAAACAAAGAAAGGTGCTGAGAATGAATCCGAGGCTAAGGAAACTTTAGACATGGCCAAACCTAAGGTGCCAAATAATGAGGCTTGGGACGCCAAGCTTCAAGGTACTGCAGGTCTTGATAATAATGAGATCTCAATCAATTATGTCATGTCTTGAATACAATATAACCGAAAGAATATCGACATTGATGATATATTTGCATGCAATATAGCACTTAAAATTATGGATATAAACGAGGACCATGAACCCATGTCTATCTTAGAGTGCACTCAATGATCAGATTGGATTAAATTGAAAGAAGCTATAAACGTGGAGTTAAATTCTCTAAAGAAAAGAAAGGTTTTTGGTCCAATAATTCAGACACCTTTTAATGTCAAGCCAGTTGGACATAAATGGGTATTTGTGAGGAAAATGAATAAACATGGTGAAATCGTGAGATATAAAGCACGGCTTGTTGCACAAGGATTCTCATAGAGACTATGAGGAGACATACCCCCCCTGTGGTGGATGTTACTAATTTTTTATTTCTAATGAATCTGGCCATAAGAGAGAAATTACACTTGCGATTAATGGATGTAGTAACTGCATATTTTTACTGGCCACTGGATAATGAGATATACATGAAGGTACCAGAGGGCATTGAGCTGCAAAACAAAGCAAGTTCTCGAGAACAATGTTGTATAAAGTTGAAAAATTGCTTTATGGATTGAAACAATCGGGGTGAATGTGGTACAATAGACTAAGCGAGTACTTAGTTAAAGAGGGCTATAAGAATGATCCAATAAGCCCGTGTATATTCATACAAAAAATCGATAAGGGCTTTGTAATAATCACAGTGTATATTGATGACCTGAATATCCTAAGAACCTCTGGAGAAACTTCCCAAACAGTTGAATATCTTAAGAAATAATTTGAGATGAAAGATTTAGGAAAAACGAAATTTTGTTTGGGATTAAATATTGAGAACGTTAAACATGGAATCCTTGTGCATCAAAAGGAATATACAGAGAAAGTGCTCAAACGATTTAACATGGACCAATCTCACCCATTGAACAATCCCATGGTCACGAGATCTCTTGGTTTGGACACTGATCCTTTTGGTCTCAAGAAGGACGATGAAGAAGTCCTTGGTTCCGAAGTACCATATCTCAGTGCCATAGGAGCTTTAATGTATCTAGCGAGCCACACTAGGCCAGACATATATTTTGCCATGAATCTATTTTCTAGATTTAGCTCATGTCCGACCCAAAGGCACTGGAACAGAATTAAACATATTCTTCGTTACCTACAAGGAACGAAAGACTTGGGTTTATTTTGTACTAACCAACCCAAACAAGGGTTAATTGGTTTCACTGTTGTAGGTTATCTTTCGAATCCACATAATGCTCGATCTCAAACATGTTATGTTTTTACACACGGTGGTACTGCTATATCTTGGTGATCCATGAAGCAAACAATTGCAGCCACATCGTCCAATCATGCCGAGATATTAGCCATCCATGAGGCCAGCCGTGAGTGTGTCTGGTCCATGACCCAACATATTAGAGTCAATTGTTGGATTTCCGAAGGGAAGGAGGCACCAACCATCATGTACGAGGACAATGCCGCATGTATAGCTCAACTTAAGGACGAATACATCAAAGGAGATAGGACGAAACTTATTCTACCGAAGTTCTTCTTTACACATGATTTGCAGAAAGCCGGCAAGGTCCAAGTACTACAAGTTCGTTTATGTGATAATTCAGCAGATGTATTCACCAAGTCACTTCCAACCTCAACGTTTAAGAAGCTTACACATCAGATAGGGATGCATCGACTGAAACACATTCAGTGAGGTACAAAACATGTGGAGTAATACGTGTTGTACTCTTTTTCCTTAACCATGATTTTATTCCTTTGGGTTTTTGGTGGAAAGGTTTTAATGAGGGAACATCCAAATCGTATTACAATCTCTTGATGGTTATGGCATCCAAGGGGGAGTATTATGAACCATATTGTAGACGCCATAACCGGCCCGATAAGCCTTATGGTCGGCGGCTGTTTTCCTTTTCCTTATTATGATTTGTACTATTTCATTTTCCTTGTCGGTTTAGGATCTCTTGTAACTCCCTATATAAGGACATCTTATGTTTATGAATAATATACAACTTTTCCCCTAATATTACAACAACTTACTTATTTAAAGTGATTTTTTACAAATTTTTATTACACTTCATTTATTATTTTTTCTTCTAAATAATCATTTCAATTTTGTAATCACTTCATTTATTATATTCACTTCATGTATTGTAATTAATTCATTTATTTTATTCACTTTATTTATTACCTTGCCTAAATATAAAATCTAGATAAATTATGTTTTGATGTACAAAAACCTTAGAATATCTAAAAATTAATGTATTTAAAGATTCGGATAGCTGTATCAAAAATAACCATAGTAATTGACTATGTTCAAGTATTTTGAATCCAAACTAAAAATAACGTAAGAAAATAAATAATCAAAAGTAATTATATTATATGATTTGATTCGGGTTAGATTTTTGATGTATAGCAACTAAAAAATATTTAATTAATTATATAATGACACATAAAATATATAACACTAATTATAAAAAAATATCAATTTATAAAACTATAAAATTTAACACCCGTGAAAGTCAATCTCTGGTAGGCGTTTAAAGGCCGATGTCAGTTTTTTTTCTTTTTGTTTTGAATGAATCGGAAATTTTCGGTTCATAGGTTCGTACATTTCCATTGGACATGCACATCCCCTATGACACGAAATTTTGACTATATTATTTAATTCCATGTTGGTAAATAGACCCTTTCCAGTGGTATTTCAACATTCTAGATGCCAATTAGAAATTGCAAGAGTTACACGGCGTAAGTAAATTCATCTTTAATAACTGATATTAGTTTGACAAATTCAACATTACAAATTCTAGGAGAGAAACTTCAAGCTTCAGGTAAGAACGGTACATCTTTATATATATATATGACTTCTTCATGTTGTTTTTTGCATCTTTTCTCGCCAAACCTTTTCTGATTGGCTCCAAGTTGTATTATCTCTACAAAGGAGATTCTATGACGTATTCTTTCTTGAGATCGCAGGAGAATGACAGCGATCTTGCACCAAACCATATAATACGTTTGACTCAATCAAGATTATAAAGGAGTCAATATAGGCGACATTGATTGGTGTACTGGTGGTAGTCCACAATGCCAGCAGAAAAAAAATTAGTACTAGTAGTTGCTTTTGAACCAAATTGTCCAAAATTATGATCTTGAAAATGGAATTAAAGAATTTCTTCCAAATCTTCTTGTTTGTCCTTGCAGGCTTTGTTGTTGTGTCTGCACAAGAATGTGGCAAAACTGGTTTTTTTATTCCCGGCAATAAATATGACACAAATCGTGGCCTTATCCTCTCTTCTCTTGCTTCAAAAGTTTCAGCTCAAGGCGGCTTCTTCAATGATTCAATTGGCGAAGGCACTGATCGAGTTTATGCTTTGGGGATGTGCATCCAAGGTGCTGAGCCAGATGTCTGCTCCAAATGTATTGACAGTGCGTCTAATGCGTTATTAGACAAGTGTCCCAACCAGACAGAAGGCCTCAACTGGCCTGAAGTACGGATTCTGTGTATGATACGATACTCCAATACTTCGTTTTTTGGATCGCTCAAGGCAGAACCACCTTTTCACATCGCCAATCCGGCCGATATCAGATACGACTTAACAGTGTTTGATCAAGTGTTGCAAGGCTTAGCAACTCGTATGATAGCCAGTGCCACTTCACCTTCATCTAAACGCAAGTACTACGCAGTTGACATAGCACCCCTGACATCTTTCCCGAGTATATTTGCATTAATGCAATGCACACCGGACTTATCTCTTGAGGATTGCCATATCTGTTTAAGAGAAAATGTTGCTGACTATGAATCATCGTTCCGTGGGAAGCAAGGTGGCATTTCTTACCGGTCCAGCTGTGTTTTCCGGTGGGAACTAAGGCCCTTCTCTGAAGCTTTTAGAGATATTACATTGGCACCTCCGCCTGAAGAAGGAAACGTGACCAATACGAAGACAAAGAAAGGTGATTCTCTTTAAGTAGCAAAACTATAAGCCTATGTTTACTTTTTATCATTCATTAAATCATCTACTATTCTGGATTGTGCAGGTAGCGAGACAGTCTCAATTGTAATTCCGACTACCATTATTGTTATTTTCTTGGTACTGCTTGCGCTAGGATTTTTTATATATAGGAGGAGAAAGTCATGCCGAGCATTAGTATACCAAGGTGAGTTGTTGTGTTTTATCCATTGTTTACTTTATACTTAGGGGCGTGGTTAGGATTTGGAAATCAATTTTTTTGAGAAGAGATGGCTGAACTATTCATATATGTGTGGCAAGAGAGAAAACATGAGTGTTACTACCGTGTTGCAGGATCAAGTACTGATATCACCTTTACACCCTCATTACAATTCGATTTCAAAACGATTGAAGCTGCAACAAAGAATTTTTCAGAGAGCAACAAAATTGGCCAGGGTGGATTTGGAGATGTTTTCAAGGTATCATTTGGAGATGTTTTCAAGATTCTTTAATTTTGTAAGAAGTTTAAAGAGCGACCGAAACAGTGAGATGATGTTGTCTAATTCGTTGCCTAGGCTGTTCTTAACGGAAGGGAAGTTGCAGTTAAGAGGCTTTCAAAAACATCAGGACAAGGTGCAAGAGAGTTCAAGAATGAGGCTGTTCTAGTGGCAAAGCTTCAACACAAAAACCTGGTTAGGCTTTTTGGATTTTGTGTGGAAGGAGAAGAAAAGATACTTGTCTATGAGTTTGTGCCTAACAAAAGCCTCGATTACTTCCTTTTTGGTGAGTCACTACATATGCTTCTATAGCTATTTCCAGACATGGATTACAGAATTTATAGTAAGAGACTTTCTTTGCAGACCCTTCAATACAGGGCCAACTGAACTGGAAAATGCGATATAATATCATTGTGGGAATTGCTCGAGGAGTTCTGTATCTTCATCAAGACTCACTGCTAACAATTATACACCGAGATCTCAAAGCAAGCAACATTCTCTTAACTGCCAATATGAACCCAAAAATTTCAGACTTTGGATTAGCGACGATTTTTGGAACGGAGCAAACTCGAGGCAGTACCAATAGGATTGCTGGCACTTAGTAAGTTATGCTCATAATGGACGAAAAATCCATAGTCCTTTTAACCCTTTCATATTGTACATTTTTCAGCGCTTACATGTCTCCGGAGTACGCGATGCATGGTCAATTTTCGATGAAATCTGACATATACAGCTTTGGAGTCTTAGTTCTTGAGATTATAAGCGGAAAGAAAAACAGTGGCATCTACCAGATGGATGAAACTACTACTGCTGGGAATTTGGTCACTTATGTGAGAATGAAAACCTCAACGTTATAAGAGTTCACTTCATCAAACATATAACAATTTTTCTTGACTATGCATTGTTTTAGGCATGGAGGCTTTGGATAAACGGGTCACCATTAGAGCTGGTGGATCCAGCAATAACAAGGAATTATCAGAGTAATGAAGTCACTAGATGCATCCATATAGCACTCTTATGTATTCAAGAAAATCCAGATGACCGTCCTTTGTTATCAGACATCATCTTGATGCTCGGTAGTAACACAAACACTCTACCGGTTCCTTGCTTACCGGGGTTTCTCCAACGAAGTAGGCACGAACTGGTCCATGTATCTGAGGGATTAGAATCAAATGAATCTACATAAAGATCTAGTCCTTATTCTATTAATGACGTGTCGATTACTGATTTAGAGCCCCGTTGAACACGGATAGATTGTGTGTGTAATTTTTGAGTGGAGCTTCTACTATAGTTTCCCTTTTCTGTCTGTTACCTCAAATGTAGAAAACTCTTGCGAGTTGTGTCTCTCCAGTATTAAATCTAATAATATTGTCTAGTTCTAGTCATAAAATATTGTAAATCTTATTTTGATGTATTTTAGAAAAAAAATATGTGTAAATTTTAAAATTTGTTAAAATAATTTTGAAATATTTATAAGATAAAATTTTAAAAAAATTGAAAGGACAAACACAAAATATTTGAGAGTTATAAATATGATGTATAATTATAAGAATCAAAATGCAAATAAAAATATCAAACTTCAAATTTGAAGTTTTTAGTAGTGATACTCTATATTTGAAAATTCACTACTCAAAACTTCAAATTTGAATTTTTAAATTTTCTTTTGAAAGAGTTAAATTTTTCATATTTGAAGTTATAGAATATCTTTTGGAGATATTTTTAGAAACAAACTTTAACAAACAAAAGTTACAAAATTATGAAAATTGCAATTAAAAAAATACAAACCATGTAGAACACGGTGCGAAACGTAGTTCAAATTTAAAAAGAAGCTAAAGAAACCGAACCGAGTAGAACCAACCGAAATCAAATCTAATCTACTAAAATAGAAGTACAAATTTAAATGAACTCGTAAACTTGCACAATATTTATAATTCAATGCCATTGAGAATTAAATAAACTTACATTTAAGTATTCATTTTCTTTTCCTATTTTATTAATCATTTCCTAAATCAGATTTAGCTAAATTTTTCTGATCAATATATTTCCTAAAATGATTTAGCTAAATTTTAGGAAAATTCAAATTTAAAAACGTTTTTAATTATATAATATAATATTTCTCAAGTATCATATAAACTTTACACATTTAGTTTATAAATTTTAAAATATATGTATTTTTTAAAAATATATGTTTAACCATTACCTATATTATTGTAAACAATAAAATCTATTTATGTTAAAATTTAACTATTTTTGAATTACTTGTAGAATAATATGGATTGTATATAATCGAATATTCATTTTAATATATCTTTCCTAAAATATATATATTTTAAATATTTATAAAATATATTTTTATTCATTCAGTTACTATTAATTATTTTTCAACAGTAAATTGATCTATATACAGTTTTAAATATCATAAAATTACTTGTAGAACAATATTTAATGTTCATAATGGATTAATTCTGATCTGATGTATCTAAATCTCAACATGTGATCCATATATAATAAAAATATTTAGAATATTATATAGTTGAGAAAAAATTTCATGTTAAAAAGACATTACTCAAACATATGAATGGTTTAATGTTTGTTGAAAACTTAATATAGTGCACGGGTCAATATTTGTTTTCAATGTGTAAACTATTTAACTATGATGTTTAAAAAAGACTTTAAAATATGATAAATATTTAAATAACTAAAAATATTTAAATAATATTTTTATATAAAATGAATACTCGCATGGACGTGCAGATCAAGCTCTAGTTAGAGCTTTATTTGAGTTGTCGTGTAATATATATTTTATTTTACTAGGTGTTTTCCAGAATCATTTGAAGTAGTAAAATTTTAAATTTAAATTATAAAAGAAAAATTTATTATTATTTCAGATTTTATTATTTTTTAATCAATATTTTGATATATATTTGATTTAGTTGAACATAAAATTAAAATAAAATAAACAATTTGGTTTCTTTTAATTTATATTTAGAACTCATATATATATATATCAACAACATAAACATACTCATATTGACTCTACAAACCAAATCGGTAGCTCGACATCCATGTGAACGACAAAAGAGGATTGTTTTCTGGCACTGCGTGCTAAACTATCCGCCCTTAAATTTTGCGTCCGTGGTACATAGACAATCTCTAAGCTGATGAAACTTTCTTTTAGCTTCTTGAAATCCTCCATATATGTTGCAAAAGCTGGCCATTCTTCTCGTTCCGACACCATCTTCACCAATTGAGAACAATCTATTGCAAAGGTGACTTGAAACTGACGCAAATTCTTCATACATTCTATTTCCCAAAGTAGCGCTTCCACTTCAGAATGAAGAGGCGACATACTAGCCCTAACGTTTCTCGCCCCCATCAATCTCTCAAAATCTTCCAGCGTACTATACCAGCCTTGCCCAGAGAAAACTTCCTTATGTTTCCACGATCCATCTATAAAACACCAACGCCCTGGTATTGATGGTATGTTTGTATCCTCCACTTGCTGAAGTGCCCTTTGTGGATGTGTCACCTGGGATTCAGCTCAAAGGATTTATTTCGTTTCAGCTAATTTAAGTGTGTCCCTGGGATCAATATCCAAATTGCTAAAAGTCTTATTTTTCCTGCATTTCCAAATATACCACCATATCCATGCAAAGTGATGATCCTCCACTTCTGGGAGAACTTTCCAAAATAAATAATCTATATTTGTAAATAGAGAACCAGTGGGAAAAGTAGTTATATAAGTATATCTAAATAGACAGTATTTTTGATAATGCCCAGACCTAATATACCCTTGGACATTCAAAAAAACACGATTGATCGATTCCTCGTCAGCTCCACAACGGTCGCAACACGTATCCCCTTGCATTCCCCTCGCTTTAAAATTTTTCTTAACGGCTATACATCCTTATAGTAATTGGCATAAAAAATGTTTTATCTTTGGAGAACACCACACCTTCCAGCAATGTGCTTTCAATACATCAACTGTGGATCCCAAAAGTACCGGTGGTTTCTCTATATCCGGGTGTACTCGTTCCACTTGATATCCAGAATTCACCGTCTATTTCTCATTCTTAGTAAAATGTCATCTAGTCCTATCTTCCATAAGAACTCATATATATTTAAAATGATAATCTTAGATATATCTTTATCTATTTCTTTTTGGATAAAATATATTAAATCAATTTGTATAAATTCATAAAAATTGACATAGAAGATTTATAATTATCAAAAATTAAAATTAAACTGTATTTCAAAAAGAATTAGATATATAAAAGAAATTAATAATATTATGATTTAAATTTTCTTTAAAAAAAAAATAAAAATTATTTTTATTAATAAAATGTTATAATTCTAAACAATAAAAAAAAAAAAATATTTCGAACTTTGTAAAATATTATTACGTTTCTATTATTGTATTACTTAATATTGAGTTTGAATAGATTTACTATAATGATAATGTATAATTTATTACCATATTGTAAAAATTTACTGAAAATATAAATATGCATTAAATGTAATTGTACATGTCATATTAATTTAGTAAAAGTGATGTTAGTTTAGTGAAATAATGTATATTAATTTCAAGAAAGTGATTGTAATTTCGTGAAATGATGTGTAGGGGATAGTAACCAAACGCTGTTAAGTAAAAATCAAATCCACCACGAAAACGATGCACATAGCGTCACCACTTCCTCCTCTAGGGTTTATGTGTTTCTCTCACAAATCGCTGAATCCCTGAGTTAACTCGTCGGACAAATGTCTCCGATCGAGAATTCATCCTCTTGGACACTCAAATCCGACCTCGAAGATCTAGACATCGACCTCCAAGACTATGGACCTTCCCTGCCTCTCAAAAAAGTCCCCAACGGAGACATTGTCGAAGCCTCGCGCGCCGGAGACGTTGATAGGCTCCGCTATCTCCTCGAGACCGGAGTCAAGTCAACGCTCGTGACCGATCGGTCCCAAAAGAATGCCCTTGGACTATAGTAGCTCGAACATGTACTATCATACCTGACGTAAGTTTGAATGTCTTCTAACTAATGTCAGGGGATGAACATACGATCGTCTGTTACGGCCGACCATATTAATCATCTAAGCTGAAGTCTAAGTATATATCGGTTAAGCAGCGATAATTTAGTTCACAGCGAAAATCAAATCAAACTCGAAACCAACGCATATACACATGATTACCAACTGAACAGCTACCACTTTTTCTTTTGAAAGCAGTAGCTACCACTACTTGTTGTACGCAAAAAAAAAAGATGAAAATTTGGAAGTGAGGTTGCCAAATTTTAAACAAAAGAAAAATTAAAAGAAATATAAAAAGACTACGTTAAAACGGGTCAGAGGTACAACTATTTACATTTTTAAAGTATCTCCAAAAATACTTTTTATTTTAAAGTTTGCAAAACTCTATATTTAAAATTTAAAGGCATTGTGTTCAATGCCGACCCAAATATTATCGTGGCTTAAAGCATGTCAAGGTGATGTGGCCTGTACAGACATTTAAAGTTGCCAAAAACAAATTATAAAAACGAAAAATTGTGGTGTTACTCTAATAACCATTTGAGCTACACTTGATTTTTGGAAATGTGGCCTATATTTTACTTTTATAATATGTGACCTAAAGCCAATGCTTCTCTTGCCTTATTGCAAGGACGGCTCCATTGTGCTCCAAAAATAAAACTCAAACTTAATTTCAAAAATACGAACAAAATACCACATTAAATTTGATAATATTGTTATTGTCTAGTTCTTGTTATAAAATATTGTAAATTGTATTTTGAGGTATTTTAGAAAAAATTATGTGTAAAATTTTAATTTATTAATAATTTTGAGATAAAAGTTTTTAAAAATTGAAAGGATAAATACCAAAATATGAAAGAGTTATAAATATGATGTATAATTGTAAGGATTAAAATGCAAATAAAAATATCAAACTTCAAATTAGAAGTTTTTAATAATGACACTCTATATTTGAAATTTCACTACTCAAAACTTTAAATTTGAAGTTTTAAATTTTTTTTTAAAGAGTTAAAAATTTCATATTTACAGTTATAGAGTATATTTTGGAGATGTTATTAGAAACAAACTTTAACAAAAAAAATATACAAAATTATGAAAATTGCAATTTTAAAAATACAAACCGTGCAGAACACGATGCGAAACGTAGGGTTTAAATGGTGACCAATGAATGACTCTATTCCCTAACATTTCTATAAGAAAATCATTATTCGCAAGGAATAATTTTTCCATTCTTGTTTCTTCTCATTTCTTTTTTTGTAGAAAAATATAGAACAAAATAATTCTTTTCCCTTTCATTCTGGTTGTTCCTGTAGTGATTATCAATCAGA